TCTCTCTTGCCCCGTAAGATCCGTCTGCCCTCTCCCTGGTTCACATATTTCACTCGACCTCTGCCACCTCATCTGTGCCACTCGATGTGTTATTCGTCCTCCCCTGCGTTTTTGTGACTAATTTGAGGCTAAAGCCTATGAGGCCTTTGCCACATGGACCACGTCTCGTATAATAACTACTGTCAGCCCAATAGCTTCCATCGCCGCCGCGTCTATCTTGTTTCTATCTCTAATACCAAGCCTATGACATCTAACGCCCTAGTCTCTTGTGTGCCAACCCACAAACCTTGTGGTTCTACATTGAACCTAACCAAAGCAAGCAGTACCACAACATTTGTGGGTTGGCACACAAGAGACTAGGGCATGGGATGTCATAGGCTTGATATTAGAGATATAAACAAGATAGACGCGGCGGCGATGGGAGCTATTGGACTGACAGTATTTTTTATAAGAGACGTGGTCCATGTGGCAAAGGCCTCAGAGGCTTTAGCCTCAAATTAGTCACAAAAACGCAGGGGAGGGCGAATAACACATCGAGTGGCACAGATGAGGTGGCAGGGGTCGAGTAAAATATGTGAACCAGGGAGAGGGCAGACGGATCTTACGGGGTAAGAGAGAGACTGTGGTAGGACCTAGGGAAGGAGGACTGCGTTACATTATGGCAGACTTTGATCAACAGTTCCAGCACAAGGATGAAGGGGTGTGAGAAGGCCAGCGTGGATTGCGGAGGGTTCTCATGAAAGCCGCTCGAAAGGACACACCGTACCACATTTAATTAAGCAAGTAAAAAATTGTGACAGTGACGTGATTGAAGGATATATGAAATGTAAATAGGCTAAGGCAGAAGGGAAGATACCATAACTGTTTAGCAGACGTTTGGTCAAAGGATCGGCTTCACGTGTCTCTTTAACGAGTTGGTGCTACGAATGGTAAGGCTCACTGACGATTCAAGCGAAACGTCTGGCAATGTACCACGTCCACAGTCCGTCTTTGGAAATGATTATGCATACAAAGGAATCAGGATAAGGTGCGTTCCTCTAAGTCTTCCTACCAATATGATGAAGTTGCCAAAAACAAGGTCAAACAACTTCTATACAACGAAAGGAGACTGCAACCACACAAAAGGCCACACCATCTTGGTCTTCATATATTCTATCTTTATTAATCCTTATTTTAGTTAAAAGTATCCTCGAACGGATCCCGATTCCGAAACTTTTAAGCTTCCTATCATTTACTCTCCTAGTCATCTTAGGGATTGATTTTCTTGAAACTTTATTTACATCTTAACTTAAAAAAGTCCTCTTCTTTCATGACCAGAAAAAATGTTTCGGCTCTTATTATTTCATGTTTGTTGATAATGCTCTCCCTTAGCCTAGTTATGACCAAATCAGTTCCCTGTTAGCTAAACTAGCTAAATCAAAATGTATAGCGAGAAAAAACATCGACTACATTATGCAAGATGCAAACTTGAAAAATCGAATTATTTTGACTTTTCGGGAAATTGTGCGGCTTCTCGTTTGGCAAGAAGACAAATGACAAGAATTTGAACCATAAGTACATTATGTACACGAAAATCGTGAAAATCTCGTAAAAATACTAGAGACTAATTACAACACAAAAGTTCGTGTAATCTATACTAGATTATGTAAAAGTTATAGAACGTATAGTTCTAACGAAAATTAAAAGATCCATTACTTAAATGTAACTTTATTGTGAATATTTTACTAATACCCACATCCTATATTACTACTTTTCTGACCATTAATTTCTTTGACAGGCTACCGTCTGGGTTATTTTCGGCGACGGCTCCTGTGCTTACAGTCTGTCCGAGTGGGACACAATGACTAGGCATCGCGCGCCCGCCATCGCTTTAATTGGCAACGATGCGGCCTGGTCGCAAATAGCACGCGACCAGGTTAACTTCTTCGGCTCTAATGTAGCTTGCGAACTGCGTTATTTGGCTTATGAGACAGTCGGTTCTTCTTACTCTGGCTTTAATAGCCACGTTACGTCAGGCAAGGCTCGGCTTTACTTTGCTTATATAATCAAGCTATTCTCTAATACGATGTTACGATTAATCTGCTTATTTATCTGATCAAAATTAATTACTTAGACTAGCTATTTGATATGAAAGAGAAATAATTTTAAAATTATTATATATTCATCTATATCTATATATTTTAGCTTTTAGTTATGAGTATATTATCTAAGATATTCTTCTTGATATAGGCTTTTAATAATAAGTTTCAGCTTTGGTCATGTCCATACTATAATGAAAAAAGGCTTGCCCAGTTTTACCTTGAACAAGGGAGCATGCCTTATAGAAAAAACCTCGTATCAAAACCAAATAACTGCAGACAATGGTATGATCATCCAGCAAACCTCTTCATCATAAACCTTTAGGCGCAATGAAAGTTAAATGATCAAAATTAATCCCATGAAAATAATGAAGATTGAGTTAAAATGTGCCCACATCATCCCTGTTTAAAAGCTTCACCTTTGATCTATATATTTATTATGGATTGGCTGGTGCTAGATTTTTAATTTTTATAGTCGCGCCTCATTTCATTTTTTCTTGAAACAAATTATCTATAAGTAATAAAAATAATTCACAATACACATTCGTTTGAGTTTCCGCA